GTGAAGTATTCCTATTTTAGTCGCATTACTGAAGTTCAGAATAGACATGTAAACACCTTAATCACATTATTACTGTCGTGTAGGACTTTTCCCCACATTTTGTGATAGGATGCACACACGGCAGTGCTCAACCGTTTGATGGTAAAATAAAAGAGCTTCAACAACCGCCGTCGTCTGTATGCACGTACACATAATTAAATGCACTTGAAGCTTTCATAAAATTAAAAATGAAACACCCAGAACTGTACATGGCATCATCACAAAGATGAACTATATGTTTATACATGAAATTCCGGAGGGGACGTCGGATGGCGTCATGTGGGGACGTAATGACGTGTACCATTAAAGGGGTCATATGATGCGATTTCAAGTTTTCCTTTCTCTTTGGAGTGTTACAAGTTCTTGGTGCATAAAGAAGATCTGTAAAGTTGCAAAGACTAAAGTCTCAAATCCAAAGAGATATTCTTTATAAAAGTTAAGAGTCAACCACGCCTACCTGAAACGGCTCGTTCTAACATGCCTGCACATATCTACATCACTATGTGGAAATATTAGCATAATGCAGCCCAAATGTGCACGCAAAGAAAGAAGGCGTGGTTTTAGGAACAGCAGTCGTGTTGATGCAGCCATGTCGGGGAGATGCTGTGTTTCAGTGCGAAAGCAAAGTAGATGCAATTAGGAATCATTGGTTAAGATTTATTTACAACAGAACAGCACAACCCAGATGTTCGAATTTGTGCAACGCATTTTATGGATGACAGTTTTTTGAACCTAGAAGAGTACAAGGCTGGCTGTGCACAAAGGCTATTTAAAAAAAAAAAAAAAAAAGGGTCAATTCCGACTTTGCTATGACAATCTGGTGCTTCAGAATCAGCGACTCCGTGAGAACTCATAGCACGTCAGCTGTCACATGACTCTGTTGCCCTTTTGGGCTTGAACTGATGGTAAAACTAACGACATTATTAACTGTCTTGATATTTACTTTGAAAGCTGATGCTCGCGATTATGGTAAGGGGCGTTACATTTCCGACGTGTGCTTGTGGTGTTCGGCCAATCACAATGCACTGGGTCAGCTGGCCAATCAGAGCAGACTGCGCTTGTCAAAGGAGGGGGCTTTGAGAGAGGCGGGGCATAGAGGACCTACAATAATGTACAGTATTTGAAAAATAATGTGTTTTTTGAACATTAAAGCATGTCAACATATTCTGTTACACCAAATACACAAAATAATGGATCTTTAAAATAGCATCATGTGACCCCTTTAATCGAACTATGTACTATAACATGTAAAACAGGAACATGAAAGGAATATTCTAAAAGCAACTCATGTAAACACCATAATCCTAATATTGGCTTATTTAGAATAAGGTAAATAATTACATTACTGATGTCCATGTAAACGTAGTCAATGTTCAGAATCTTCAAAACAAAACAGTTTTTTGTTTCAGCACGGATATACCACTTACTCAATTGATTATTGGTGTTACATTCGGTGATGTCTAATTTGCATTTTAAAAACCTTACATGTGTTTTTTTATTTTTCATGAGACCTAGTCCATTAAGAGGTGTGACACCATCTTGGGTTATGGTTACATAGTTGAATGACTATTTAAATTTAATCAGTAATTAGCACTGGATCCAGTTTTTTTAGTTGAAAAGTGAACCACAAAGTCACTATAGACTTCAATATCCATTTATTATGTGAATCTGCAATGATGCTCACCATTGTAGTGTTCTGACACTGAAGGCGGAAACATTCCAGTCCAAATATGGCAATGGGTGTGGTTTCTGTATTTGCCTGTCAACCAGGGGCTGATTTCAAAGTGGTAGGGGCATTTGTAGGGGGAATGGAAGTAGGAACTTTGGTTTGGAAAATTTAGGTTGTTTTGAGTAAAGAGTAAGTGCACACATGGCCCATCGCATGTGATTGTACGCACTCCTGAATACTCCATTAAGGGGCACATGAAAGGTCACGGACAAGGTCAAGGGCTTTCTCAGTCTATAACAGTCAGAAGTTCACATTTTTAGAAATGCTACTGAACAGGATCAGTTTCTGTGCCTCAATAAACAAGTTCCGGCAAAGGACAACCGAGGAGGTGGAGTATTCAAATAAATTAATGGACAAGAAGGAAAATATACAAGAAGGATGAGGTGTAAAAGTAGAAAAAATTACTGCAAAAAAAGGAAAGAGGAGGAGAAAGCAGGAGGAGAGAAGACTACATAGAGAGATAAGGAAACTGAGACAAAACAGAGGCAGAACAGAAATCAACATAATGCTGGAGAACATTAAGAAACAAAGAGAAAACAGACAGCAGTTAAGAGAGGCCTGTCAGAGACCTTCTAAACTATCATCATTGGTCAACATGAAGTCAGCATGAAACCATATTTACAACAATGTGGCATTTTTCTTAGTAAACAGTCCCTGGGGAAATGTAGGGTGAGCTTTAATCTGTAAGGTATTGATTGGATTGCTAAAAGTGGGCATTCCAGAGATTGTAGCAAGACCTGAATACAAATTTGGAGTTGGTTGTCGAGGACTGTTCTCTAACTAAAACAATTAGTATTGGACTAATTTATTAATTGGTCTTAAACTGCATTTTTGAAGCAGTCACAAAATCTTAAAACAAATCAATAGAGATAAAAAAAAATAAAAATCCTTTCACAAAATTATATTCTGGTGACTGGAATTTACCTTGTCCTCCTGGGAGTCCTGATGCAGAAGGCTGTGCTGTTGGATGGCCATAGGGGGCGGCAGGGGAACCGAGTCTGGTCCTTCCTCCCCCTCCTCCTCACCACAGCTCTGCATCCCTGAGGAGGAAGACTTAGACAGAGTGCCACTGCTCAATCCCTCATTTCTCATTCTCTGTGAGGACAGAAGAAAGCGAGAGAGAGAAATAGAAAGGAAGAAATAAAAAATAAACATTGTTAAGCTATGAAACAGCTCAGCAGTTGTGGCGCATTTTTATACAAAAATAGCTCCAGTGGAAGAGTTGCACTGTATTTATAAGTGTTCTACACTGGAAACCACAAGACATGAATAACACTTTCAAATCATGCACTTAAAAACAAACAACTCTTCATTTACCAAATGCATTTACTGGGATATGAGTGGGAAATAACAAACTAGTATATATTTACTTATATATTCTGGGAGTTGTTTTAATAATTTTTACTGTTGCAATAAGGCATCTTTGGGCACTTTTCATTAAAACTGTAAACTTTAGTCCCATTATTATTATTTATTTACTTTTTTTTATGTTGGGGATCTATTAGAAGTGTTAGACAATTGTCTAACATAAAATTAATTTAGCAGTTATTTCTGTACCCCTTTAAGTGATTCTTGACATGTTACAAGTCTTCTTGACAATATAATGCTTTTTCATAATTATACATTTTTTTTGATAAAAAAAAGGTATTGTGAAATATCATTACGATTTAACATAAAATGTTTTTTATTTTATTGTATTTAAAAATGTAATGGCAAAGCTACATTTTCAGCAGTCATTATACAAAAATCATTAAAATATGCTCTTTGGTGCTGAAGTAACTTATTATTATCACAATTGAAAATGGCTGATTGCAAACTATAAATGGTAGTGTATGTACATGCAGACATACAGTTTTATAATACATTAATTGATACACAATGCAGTTTTTTTTTTATTTTAATTGACTGCATTGATTTTGGTTTGTTAAACCAAAAAAAAAAAAAAAAGGGCCAGTTTAACACACGTTATCATGTTGGTTTTATAATATCCACAACAGAATATTTCGGACAAATAGATTGGAAAACTTGTGAGTAATGGTAATTGAATATGATTATCTAAGTCTATGATTTTTGTGTGTTGTTACTAGATATATCAGTGATGAATGTGGTGTGTGTGGTTGCAGTTCTGTTACAAATTCACTCCTTCTGCACTGTCGTTAAATTCGCACCTGAACAAACCGAGCCTTCAGCGCCACAGAAATGAGTCCTGTGTTGGACACTGTGTACGTGTCCAACTGTCCCCTCATATGAAACTTACAGTATTTTGTACATTACACCAGATATAAATCATATATAAACAGATCTGAAATATTACAGAAAACACTCTCCGTCCCAACTGAGGTAGCGTTGATTAATTATGAAGGGGTGTGATATCACATGCTTGAGGTGTGACAAATTATGTTTACTCATACTTTGAATCTCTCACGTCATGGAAAATATTTAGAAAGAGATTTATTTTGAAAACTCTAATTTATGTCACTTTCAAATAAGCATAATCATCTAGTCTGTTTCGCTGTGAGCCTCTTAAGTCTGAATTAATAATAAAGACTCGCTCACAAACACATGCACAGGTTTCACAATGTTTTGCTGCGTGTGCATAGCGACCTTTATTGGGGGTACAGAGACTTCCCAGACTGTATACAAGAAGACGTAATCACCAACATAGCAATCTAAATCAATCAGCCTGTGAACGAAAGCCAAATATAAACACCATCATAAATTCCTATTGCTATGCTATTTGGGTCAATGACAAATGACAAACGTGTTAACATTAAAAAAAAAGGAAAAATAATTTAAAACATATGCTAAGATATTACAAAAGTACTTGTATTCTTGTTGATTTCATAAGGTTTTGAAAAAAAAAAGTTAATATTTTCAAGAAAAGTTTAAATTTGAAAAAGATTCTAAATTATGTCATTAAGTTAATGTAATCGGGGTATACATTAACAATTATTTCCAAAAACATTTTTACATATGTATATATTTTTTTTCAAGGCAAAGGATATTTTATTTTATTTTAGTAATATCATGAACTATTCAGCCATATTCAGTCAGTTTTTTGGGGAAAATGCACAAGACAAACTAAACAAATTTTGCCTTATCATAAAAAAGGTCAAACTAATTTTAAGAAACTTGTTGTCTTTGACACAAAGTCGGGAGGACCTGTGATATATTCATATATTTTAAATATGTAAATAATATTTTAATTTAAGTTAATTATAATAAATGTCATGATAAACTACTTACTAATGTGTTCTTAAAAAATAATAATTTTTTTTTCAAAATTCAGACGTAGATCATCATAAAGAACAATCTTTTTTTCCAATTTGTGCCCCTCTCTGTGAAATCCATGCTAAAGTCTCAAAATCTAATTATGAGATAACAAGCATCAAAGTTTGATTTCAACCATTAACCATAAATGTTCTTTACCTTATGAAGGATGATTTTATATAGAAAACAGTAAATCACCAAAAAAATGACTTGTTTTCACAGACAGGGTCACATTTGTGCATGAATTGCTTTTTTTAAAGTATATTTAAATAGGTTAATAGATCAAAGTAATGTCATGTCATTAATCTATTCACTTTCGCTCTGCCAATATAAAAAGCAGACAGTGGCAACTTTTAAATGCTGACGTCCGCTCAAAATCAACTCCTGTAGAAAATGCACTAAAGTGAAAGTGTGGTAACTCAATTAATATGAATAAAATGAATTTTATTAGCACCCAACACATCAACAGTGTTAAACACCAAATAGACAGGAATAATTTTTTTTTAATTCAGCTAAATTCTATGACCAAGCTTTATCTATTATTAGATGTCATGAGCAATGAAAATTTATAGATCAATAAATAGAGTACTACTTCTTCGTGTAGTCTAGAAGTGCCTCAAAATCACTTCATATGAATCTTAATATAAACCCTGCATATGATTTATCAACATACCCTACGCTTAACTTCCTGAATACATTGAAAGTTCTTAAATAAACAAACCACACTATATTAAGCTGCAGAGTATGACTATCGTGTTCAGTCCTGACAGTGTTGTTGTCCTGTAAGGTACGTACCCAAATCCAGCAGCCAGTACTTGCAGTTTTCTGAGCGTCCTGAAGCAGAACCCATGTGACAAAGTGGCCTGACTGATAAAAATGAGTGTATTCCATGTGCCATACCAAGAAGTGATCCGAACAGAGGAGGCAAACTACACTAACTCCTCTAAACTGAAAGGATTTTACCACATAATGCTGAGAGGAGAGTGATGGACTATGAAAGAAAGGAAGGGAGAGAGGAAGGGGGATGGAGAAAGAGGGAGGTTTGGTGTTTCATGCACAGCTGTGACTAAGTTATGCTCAGAATGAGAGAGAGAGAGAGAGAGAGAGAGAGAGAGAGAGAGAGAGAGAGAGAGAAAGAGAGAGAGAGAGAGAACAGAGAAAGAA